ATAGTCCCCCCAGTCTTGTATATCAATAGGGTTGGGTCGTTGCGGTCGTCCACACACACGCTTTATGATGTCCCAGAAACGTTTCGAGTCTACCACTTCTGCAATTTCTAGGTCACTCCTTTTGCATTGTGCAAACTGTTCTTTCTTGATTCCACACTGTTTTCTGTATTCATTGCAAACTTTGTAATACTTAATAAGGTATAAGCTATCCTTAGTTTCTTCTGGACGCATTTAGATAATGGCATCGGGGAACATGTCACTCGATGCTAAACCATAATCTATCACACTACACCCTAAATGCCCAATAGGGGGCACGGGTGGCCAAGTCGGTTAAGGCGCCGCGATGCTGTGCAGATTTGCGTCCCTTGGTCACGCCTGCAAACCTATGATTGTGGGTTCGAATCCCAGTTCGCCCCTATTATGTAGTTAGGTTTGTCAGCACCATACGTGTGCTCGTGGGTGTTACCGAATAATGTTAAAAGCGGCGTTAAACCCAACTCACTCACTCACTAAAAGCCCAATAAACGTATAGCCACCGATTTTATAGTTCCAAATCTTCCATTCACAATATGTATGTTCAGAATTCGAAAGTTATTTAGTAATTTATCACATGAATATCTTTCCATTGTGGAAAAATTGTGGAAAATAATATACCAAGTAACTATTACTTTCAACATGGTGAATAACATTGTTCTCCACATAGTCCCGCGTCACACGGTTCTATTGTTCATGTACAATGAACCCGTGAAGATCCGGGGTAGAATAGGTCTCCAGCAACCCATTCTTGCCATAAAGGGCGACTATGCTTGTCGTAAGATGCAACTAACGGGATCGGGTGGTCAAACTCGCTGACTTGGTTGATGCATGTCATCATGTCCCAAATGTGTGGATCGATGCTCATGGTGTCGACCACTGGATTGTCTGGTCCAGACTCCATTATTTACAGACCGCCGTCATATAGCTGGAATATTGCTGAGCGCGTTAAACAACAAACAAACAAATCCAAGTACAATGATAGAAACAGCTGGGTACTCTTTCAGTGTATAAATAAAAATTAAATAAATAAAAAACAACAACAGCAAAATCTCTATCCCATTTTGTCTATCTTTGTTTTCCAGGTCGATCTGCGGTTGGATATATGTAAACAAAGCATAATGTAGCTCTACTGAAACCAAACATGCTTTTTTCCAAAAGAAGGGTAATAACATGTTCTCTGTATCGAATATCAATAACATATCTTACCAGTGAATATTTTATCAAAAGCATTCCTCCCGAATACCTTCGGAACCTGGACCTTTGTGGCTGGTCGCGATCTGCGAATGGAGCAGATCCATGTCTGTGTTTGATCCATCTGCCTGTGCATGCCATGACCACACCCCCGTGTACCCGCTGTAGTAGGCATGATTGAATTGCTGTGTGATGCCCGTGCCTCCACCACAAACCTGGTTAAACTCCACGATCACCAGTGGTTTGTCCAAGTGGTAGGCAGAGGTTGCCATAACAGAAGTATAAGCAAGTTGGTTAACTTGTTAAACCTATACATTGAGCCTCAGATTGAACTTTAACATGGAATATGTAGAGACAGTCATGCGTACATCAAATGGATCGACAGTTCATGTTTAATTAAGGGCCCAGTCGTCTAAGGTGCTGAATTTCACTGAGCCTTGAGCACACTAGAAAATTATGATTGTGGATTGTTGTGATTATGTTACCAGGTTTGTCAGCACCATACCCTCGTTTGTGGGTTTCACCAAAGAGGTAAACATATGAGATTTGCACCACTTCGGGCTTTCCTCCCATATTAAGCTGACATGCCGTGATGTAACTGGAACTGGAAACGAACCCGTACGCTTGGGTTATTAGCGAAAGCCTTAAGCACTGGACGACCCTAGCACATAGCGTTTTAAATTGAAGGGTATTACAAAAAGAGTAAGATGCTTCGAATTCAAATAAGACGTTCAAGTTTTCTAACTCCTAAAACATTAAGATGAGTGAGTGAGTGAGTGAGTGAGTTGGGTTTTAAGGCCGCTTTTAACATTATTCCAGTTATATCACGGCGTGTCAGCTTAATGTGGGAGGAAAGCCCGAAGTGATGCAGGTCTCAGACGTTTACCACTTCGGTGAAACCAACGAGCACGGGTATGGGGCTGACAAACCTAGAAACATAATCGGGGCGAACCGGGATTCGAACCCACAATCATAGGTTTCTGGCGTGTCCAAGGGACGCAACTCTGCACAGCGAATCGCGGCGCCTTAGACGACTGGGCCACCCGTGCCCCCCATTACGATGAACACAGGCAGGGTGCAAGTGAACATGCAAGAGGGCACGTTTCTGTTATGGAAACTTTAAGACTCCCTGATTGAAGTCATCTTAAGGTTGTTAAGGTTTAAGGGTCTATGCAATAATCTACAGCCTACCTTCATTGGGAAATGGGCTTCGTACTTGTGTTGCCAGTCATAGGTGAAAGTGGAACAGAAGATTAATGTTCACTGGAACACAACAATGGAAACAATGTGACTTCTTCTGGCAGTGTGGTTTAGCATGATGGCAGTTGGAACACACCTGACTGGCATATATTAGATACATGAGCCTATTAGGCCTCAATCAACATGCCAGCGATACCCAAACAATGTTAAATGGGTAACATGCAAAGTTGCAAACACAATGAAACCAAAGAAACCCTGAGCCAAGTAGATTTCGAGTACCATGCAACAGTCACATGTGTCCATAAAACTATATGTGGCCAGTTGTAAATGGACAAATGGTTCATGGCCTACTTGTTTTTGTAATTACCTTCCCTGTACAATAACATTACGTCACTGCTACCTGTACAACCATGGACACTTTTCAATAAATGTACCCTTGGTTTCCATCCACCCTTGGTAAGACAATGATCACTGTTCAAATTGTGATAACCAAACATATCTGAGTCCGATCTTTGGTTCAAGGAGCAAGCCGTGACCATGGCACCGGCATCGGCTGACCTGATGGCATTTTATTGCCTGGTGATGAACATATAACTAAATTGTAACCAATACCCATTAGAAGGAGATGCGGCACACCATTAACTGGATACTAGTACTATTACTAGTACTATTTAACATAGATTTGACATGTTAGGTCAAACATTTCTTTATCATTTCTAATTGACACTTATGCTGATGCTGCATAGCTTATACCGAAAATCAATTTTTATCACAATTTTATATTTCCAGAAGCGCTTATGAATGAAAGGAACACACTGAATATAGAGCAAATTCTCTTACAATGATAGCTACCGTCCACATCCTTACTTCTTTATTCATTCTAATTCAAACATTTTATTATTATTGAAACGAAGCAATTATACTTGGTATATCATCTATATGGTGGCACCAAGTCGTCACTTTCAGCTGATTGGCACTGGCAATGTTTTTCCAATGCCGTTACTGTTTTGCTTATTTGCACAGGCTCAGTTTACCCTCTTATAGAGTGACGCCAAGGCAGTCTTGACACTATACTTAGCCGTGCTGCTACTGACTGCTAACATACACGCACTATTGCGTGATCAATGTCAAGGAGAAGTCAGGATACAACAGGATCCTGATACTTTATCTGAGCAACCCCCTGAACAGGTTATTTCTGTCCTGCAAAGCCTGCGCCAGCACTCTGCATAAAACGGGTGTCAAAACAAAGATTGGAGCTGGACTGATCTGCCTTCATCTCGCCTTCCATCTCATTGATTATGTCCCAGCCTCCCAAAGCAGTCTCGTTCTTCATTGCATTGAGCCATGGGACTAGAGCTTTGTTTATGTTCGAATGAAGCTTAGACCATGATGAGCCCATCCAGATTGCCGTGGTTCTGCTTTAAAGCTCCATTCCAAATGGACAGAAGAATTCCGTTGCTCTGGGCGGACCTCAGATACCGGCTCATGTCACTGTAAGACAATAAACCTTTTCTTAAAATATATAAATTTTACATGTCTTCTGTAGGATGTTTGAGTACAGTGATGTTCAAAAATATCAAACAATAGTTATCATTGTGAATAATTCTAAGAATACCACCTCTATCACATCAGTGCCATAAATTCCTGTTTATGCTGAGAACCACACTATAAATTTTTTATAAATTTTCAACAGACGTCCACTACACTGCCAACATATCCATAGTTGTGAGGGAAACCCTATCCCTTGCCAGAGGCGCCACTGCGCATGCGCAAGGCGGGAATCTAGTCACTTCTTTCAACCCATACTCTCATCAACTAGATGCAGATATTTGGGGAGGTGGGAGGGATTAATTCCTGATGTGATAGAGGTGGTATTCTTAGAATTATTCACAATGATAACTATTGTTTGATAATTCTTGTGAATACCTCACCTCTATCACATCAGTGCCAGTATACACCAGAGGGACCGGCGGGTTCTGGTATCTAGCATCCCATAGATATTTGGCTAGTGAAGTGGTAAAACCAAGGATTATATGCCAAAAGGGGTCTTAAACGGATGTGTCTAATAGTCTACTTACAAGACTTAGACGTATAGAATTTTCAAGGCGTCATGTGAAGGGTATATGTATATTCCCTTGTGATACTTAGACTTTTTAGTGACGTCGTTTCCTGTGATGACGTCATCTGTGACGTCACTTCCGGTGATGACGTCATCTGTGACGTCACTTCCGGTGTCACTATTCTCCCGTATCACTTATGACGTGGTTTACCGTTATGCCCTTTTTGGATAGTGATATTTAACGTATCTTAACGTTTCTCCGGTGTGATGACTCCTATGACGTCACTTCCGGTGGTAGTACATTAACCTTCCTATCATGTAGATTACCGTATATCACTTAATCCTTCGATCTCTGATTTCAGTGTTGACATTTGCCCTGTTTTACTAACTCAATAGCGCAGTCCAGTAACAAAGTACAACTTACCCTGAGTTCCTGAGGTACTTCTGAAATCTTCACCCCCCCCTTGTATCTGTTTTAAAGGGCGGGCATTAGATTTATAGAGTTCTGCAATGATATGTTAATGGCATAATTATTTGGTCTATAATTAACCTCCGTAGTAGAATCCCCACTGTATAAAAAACAGTATTAGCAATAGATCCGCACCCCCTACTCGGGCTGTGCTGAGACTGGGTCATATGGCTGAGGGTAGCGTAATCCCGGTCGTCTGATCTACGGCTGGCCGTGCGGGAATCACGTGTTCTATAACTGTGTGATAGTGACGTAACATCTCCCTCGCTTCTCCGCCCGTGTAACTGGACTGTGTGGCAGTATGAGATGGCGCATGCTTAGGAATTCCATCCTGATTAGCACGAGCCTTTTGTCAGTTCGTCTATCTTATGGCTAGAGGGTGAATGGTGTGTATTACTGAGCATACTGCGATGCAATGTCCGTGATTCACGATCAGCCCTATGGTGTACGTGGTAGGGAGGTAATCTATCTCTTTTTTGTTCTGTGTCCTCATAATAATCAGATACAGCGTAGGCTTGCATTGTCTGCTGTATGAGGAAGTACTGCCATATTCAGCCTTATATCTCACTTAATCTCGTGCTTATCAATCCCCGTTTGGTCATGTCGGGTTTGTGCAATCAATTCTTTTAGAGTTTATTCCTGAGCCCTTGATTGCGTGCGCTTTTATCAATTATTACAACATTGAGTTGGTTAAATTCTCCGAATCCCTTTAGTTAAAAACCTGTGAGGTACATCTGCTCCTCAACTTTATTGGGAGATCCTTAGGTCTCTTGAATCTCGTGATCGACCCCTGTTGGCCAAGCCCGGGTTGTGCGACAGATTCTTTTGGATATGAGATTTCCGGAGACATTGATTGCATGCGCTTTTATCAATCTGATCGACCCCTGTATGGCCAAGCCGGGGTTGTACGACAGATTCTTTAAGATATGAGATTTTCTGAGACATTGATTGCATGCGCTTTTATCAATCTGATCGACCCCTGTATGGCCAAGCCGGGTCATAGATTGCATGCGTGCGTCATTCATAACAGACATTGAATTCTTTCCGTGAACTCATTTAAGTTAAAGGGGGAACGCGGCAGAGGGTGAAAATCGTTAGTTTCTGTCCAAACTCGATGATCGACCGTACCAGACGTTGCCGGATGCAAGTTAGAGGCACTTTCTGTTTGACCGGTAAAATGCATCTGCTCCTCAACATTATTGGGAGAGTGGGATGAGCGACGGGGTCTCTTCTCCTCATAAGGTGAGACGGCGCCCTCGCGCGACACTCGCTTGTAACCCACGTGATTAATATGGCCACCAAGAGCTTAATCACTTGTTTTTACTTGATGCGCTAGTAATCTTTGTAATCAGGATTGTTGATACATGCCTTGTAGAGCTTGTCAATTTTCTCCTTTGACAGAGGCTCGCAATAGCTGCACCTTGACTTTTGTGTGCAGTTGCTTGCATGATAGACATCTAGGGTGAGGGTCATCAGGTATCTGGTGTTGCCCACAGCCTGAACAGACGGGTGTCTGTCCTTGAGATGAAGATCTCATCCCACAAAACGTTTCTAACTAATTACTTACTAGAACTTCCGATCTTCTTATACCCCCGTTCTCTGCTTGTAGACTGCTCACTGCTTGTAGCCTATGAAGCTTGAGAAGATCTAATGTGCTTTGTAAGTGTGGAACTCAATCACGTGTACGGATGTGCAACAAAATATTTTCCTTGTTGTCATCTGGACACACAGGAAAGAAGTGGATAGATTCCCGCCTTGCGCATGCGCAGTGGCGCCTCTGGCAAGGGATAGGGTTTCCCTCACAACTATGGATATGTTGGCAGTGTAGTGGACGTCTGTTGAAAATTTATAAAAAAATTATAGTGTGGTTCTCAGCATAAACAGGAATTTATGGCACTGATGTGATAGAGGTGAGGTATTCACAAGAATTATTGAGTTTTCACTTATTCAAACCAAGCAGAATGAGCAATGATATGCATTTCGGCCATTAAAATAAGTGTACATTCATTTAATTATGAGGGATGGACACAGTACGCATGTATGTCTGATGCTCAGCAGGTAAAACGTAAATACAATATTATAATATCCGATCATCCATGTGAGTGCAAGTAACTGTTTATAGAATAGGGCAGGTATCTTTGGTAGTGAATACTTGATCTTTCTCTTACCACTGAATGAGTGGAATAGAATATCACACAACTTTCAGGAATAAAGGAAAAGTAATCCTAAATTATGTGAAATCAGCAATCCTCAGATATTGTTGTATGACCTGACTTTAGTCCAGCCACACAGAAAATAGTCTTACGTGTCCTTATAACAAACAATACCTTATAAATGTTCCACCATGATCGAGATCGGTGACGTAGCCTTGACCATTGAAGTTTGGGGAGGTAGCACCCTTGATGTGAACCCATACTCCTGTATTGGAATATGTAGATGAACATTGTAGTTTCATATTACAACAAAGTTGGGAACAAGGTTAGAATAGATCCCAAGCACTCTATTGGTTGTCATACGAGGTGGTCAAACCGGTGACTTAGCTGACATTGCCTTCAGTCTGTAGTTTCCTGGCTTGGTCTAGAGTATTTACAGGTCGGCATGATATAAATGCATATTGCTTACGGTTTAAGCTCAGCTTGTAATAAATTAGATTAATACTTCCTGTTTGTGTTATGCCATTTACGGTTCGGTTTCTAGTTATAGCAGCAACAAGAACGCATTACAGCCATGAAGAGAACTTTCAATCAGTTCTGCGAAGAACCGTTTTAAGAACAGTTTGAAATAGATTTGAAATGATCTGAATGTATAACCTATGGCTTTTCGCAAACTGATAGTCGTCAATGTTAATACTCGGATCAATGGCTATTGAGTTAACTTTGTCAAATCGTCACATTATTTAAAAAGTAGACGCGAATATCAGACGTCCAGATATCACATTTCCAAATAATATAAATACATTCAGGTGTATGGGGTATGAAGATGTTTTACAAATCAAAATATTTCTTTAGGTAATAAACTGCGGAGCAAACGAGACGCCACCAAATAAATAACGGTCGTCAGGTTTCTACAAATTTGCCAAACAGCACGAAAACAGTTGGGGACTAATAGCTGAAATGTAACTTACCTATGCCCTGGGAACATGTGCACGTGCTTCACGTGATTTACGAGATAAGTGAATTTAAACACTAAAAAATGCAAAATGTGTACAAGTTATTCGTATGAAATTCTTGTATAAAACATGAGCAGGATTGTACTCTCTCAGCACATGAAACGGTTGAAAACAACGAACATGTTTCGACTAACCTCGGAGCGAGGGAGAGAGCCATCGGTATGTTGCAAATGGGAGCGACACAGGAGCACCTTGCCAAGATCATTGGCTGCTTCAATTGCACCATCCCCAGAGTTGTCACACGTCACAGGCAAACTGGCAGTACTGGAGACAGGCCGAATAGTGGGAGATCCAAGGTCACGACCACACAGGAAGACCAGTATTTACGGATGCTTCACCTGAGTTCCAGATTCCTAACTGTGACGTCATCATCCGCAAACGGCCTTGGACATCCAGTCAGCAGAAGGACCGTTGCTAGAACTCTATAGACGACTCCGCCTGTATGGACTTTATGCCTATCGACCTTTTAAGGGCATGATGTTAACGTTTCTACATAGTCTTCACAGACTGAGATGGTCCAGGATTGAACAGCAGTGGCAGCAGAGAAATTGGCGAAGAGTGCTCTTCAGCGACGAGAGTAGGTGGAAGGTGGATGGGCGGGTTCGAATCTACCGACGACTGGGTTGTAACGGACGTCAGGTTGTTGTGTCCAAGAAGAGGAACCTTATGGAGGTGGAAGTGTTATGGTCTGGGGTGGCATCTGCGGGGACCAGACGACAAATCTGGTCATCATGGACAGAAATATCACTGCACGTCGTTACAGTGATGAGGTTTTGCGGCCTGTGGTACTGCCTTTCCTGCAACGCAACCCACGGACGTTGTTTCAGCAGGGCAACGCCACCCCTCACACAGCTTGAGTCACTAACAACTTTCTGAACGCAAACAACGTGACCGTATTACAGTGGCTAGCCAGATCACCGGACCTGTCGCCCATAGAACACCTCTGGGACCAATTTGGACGCAGGATTCGGAAACGCCAACAGCCGCCAACGAGGGATGCCTTGGCAATTGCCCTGCAGGAAGAATGGCGTAGGATCCCTAATCAGGATGTCAGGAGACTCGTGTAATCAGTTCGACGTCGCGTTAGGGCCTGCATCGTTGCTGGAGGGTGTCACATCCGATACTGAGCCATGTGTGTAGCACGGGACTTTAAAATGGATCGACGTCGATTCTGGGGGTGTGATCGAATACTGGACAGTGACCCAGCATGATAAACGTGTCTGCAGAACTATAAGTACATGTTTTTTTATTTTGTCATTTTCAAATCCCGTTTTTTAATAATTGCTTTTTTATAATAAAACATCAACATCAAATTTTGCGTCTGTTTTGTTTCAGACAAGAAAATTGTTTGGTGGCGTTTCTTTTGCCCGTTAGTTTAAACTCGTCATAGGGGATAAAACAGAATAATATATTACAGAAGCAGAGAGAATGATACCCTATCCTACTTCATTCCTAAATGAGATATCCCCCAATTTCTTATAGATGTTATCTTTGAGGAGTGAGTGAGTGTTCGGTATGGTCTTACGCCGCTTTTTTGCAATATTTCAGCAATTTCACGGTGGGGGACACCATAAATAGGCTTCACAGATTGTATCCATGTGAGAAATTATGTGGGGAATTATGTGGGGCTTTGAAAACATCTCAACACCCATTTGCGTTTTCTAAAATATCTTTTATCATTAGGAAAGTGTACTCCGAAGCTCATGTTATTTACGGAACTTGGAAGGCTCCATCCATCAAACATCGCTAAAATGAGAATAATATGTTTTTTGGTAAAATGACTCTCCGGGAAATCATCGAAATTATCCTTTCTTGTATGCAAGTGATTATTTAATGATGACCTATTTGGAAAATGTAAACATAAATGGATCATATATATCAAACTTTTAACAACTCGGTCTTAGCTACAGCTGGTTTTCACAAAGTTTAAAAAACCCTACGTATCTAAAACATTTAGTCCATTAAATATGAAATGACATTAACCTACAGTGTTAGACAAGTGCATGAGATAAGTCTTCAAAATGCACACTGTTCAGTATCATGAAACATGATTGTCTAAATTTTGAATATCATTTAAATGTACTGCAGGAAAACGCTTGGCGAGTCTTACTTAAGTTTAGAACTTGTAACCTAAATCTACCTATTGAAACTAGGAGATGGAGAAAAATCACTAATACCGAAAGGAAATGTCCACTTTGTAAACTATCTGACATAGGTGATGAAATCCCCATTATTTGTTAAGTTAAATGACTGACAGTACATTGACATTGATGTGGAAGTAAATATTATTA